TGGACTGTGGACTGTGAGCTATGGGCTGTGGACTGTGGCCTATGGGCTATGGGCTATGGACTGTGGACTGTGGCCTATGGGCTGTGGGCTGTGGACAGTGGGCTGTGGGCTGTGGACTGTGGACTGTGGTCTATGGACTATGGGCTGTGGACTGTGGCCTATGGGCTGTGGACTGTGGACTGTGGGCTGTGGACTGTGGGCTGTGGACTGTGGGCTGTGGACTGTGAGCTGTGGGCTGTAGGCTGTGGACTGTGAGCTGTGGGCTGTAGGCTGTGGGCTATAGACTGTGGACTGTGGACTGTGAACTGTTGACTGTGGACTGTGGACCATAGACCGTGGACCGTGGACCGTGGACCGTGGACTGTGGACTGTGGGCTGTGAACTGTGGACTATGAGCTATGGGCTATGGACTGTGGGCTGTGGACTGTGGACCGTGGACTGTGGACTGTGAACTGTGGACTATGAGCTATGGGCTGTGGACTGTGGATTGTGGACCATGGACTGTGGACTGTGGACTGTGGGCTGTGGGCTGTGGGCTGTGGACTGTGGGCTGTGGACTGTGGACTGTGGGCTATAGACTGTGGACTGTGGACTGTGGACCGTGGGCTGTGGGCTGAACTGTCTCACTAGTAGGGATGCACACTAGCCCACGGAGGCTTGAAAGGTCCCTGAGCCAAATGCAGCATCTACACCCTCAGCCCTGAGTCAGGGGCCCCTAATGGGACAGCAAACGTCACAGTCAGGAGGGTGAAGCAGCCGGGGCCTGGGTCACACTCCAGGATGGCTTTGAGGAGAGAGGAAGAGCAAAGGTGTAGCTTGGGGACAGAAGGGAGGAACTTCCAGTAGAGCGTGACAGCTCAGACTGAGAAAGAAGGGCAGACAGACAGATCCACACATACACACAGATCTCTGGCTAGCAAGCAATGAGTGCAGAGTTATCACCCTAGTGGTCATCTGGGGGGATAAAGTCACACCACCTCCAGTGTCCCACCTCCATTCCTGGCCCTGACAGCCCTGTTTCATGGACGGCAGATGGACAGACAGTCAGGCATAAGAACCAGCGGTCCCTGTGTGAGCCTGACTAAGCCACCAACCCTATCAGGGCCTCAGTTTTCCCTGTCTTGTGAAAAGGGACAGTGGTCCCTCCCTCTAAAGGTGTTTGTGGGATGCAGTGATGTGACATAAACACCGTGCGACCCTGCGAGCATCTCTTGACTGCTTTCCTGAAATTCCTTCCTGTCCTGTTGTTCATTAGGAAATGAGGGGGGCTCAGTGTTTGTCCAGCTGCTGTGACTGAAAGGCTCTGACCAGGGGCTGCAAAGACAGACGGCCCCATGATTAACATGCTTTCTCCTCCTGTGAGAACCCAGGTTCAGCTTCCAGCACCCACACTGGGTAACACATAGCTGTCTGTATCTCCACTTCCAGATATCTGATGCCCCGTTCTGGCCTCCTCAGGCACCTTGTGCCCATGGTGCATATAAATGACTACAGATACACACAAATACACCAAATCAAAAAAATCATTAAAAAACCAGCCACTCTGACCAGAAGCAACCTGGGGAGGAAAGGGTTTATTTGGCTTATGTTTCCAGGTCACAGTCCATCTTTGAAAGAAGTCAGGACAGGGCCTGAAGAAGAGGCCATGAAGGAACGCAGTCTGCTGTCTTGTCTGCTCACAGGCCTGCTCTTCCTTACCTTTCTTGTAGAGCAGGACCTCTTGCCAAGGGAATGGTGTCTCCCACAGTGGACTGGACCCCCCTATATCAACTAACAACCAAGACAATCCCCCAGAGACACTTCCACAAGCCAATATGATCAGGGTAACCTCTCAATTGAGGCTCCTTTCTCAGGAGACTCAAGGCTGTGTTGAATTGACAGTAACTGTCAACTTTTCTGATCTCCCCTTGTCTCCTCCCCTTCTAGGCTCACACACGGATGTAGCAGCTCTGTGATGGTGGCTGTATCAGTACTTTTCAGTTTCTGTGATTAAACACTATCGTGGGGAACTGGCTGGTTCTAGGCTTTCCCTGGGGCTCTGAAGTATGGAGAAGGAATATAGTTCCTTGTCTAACACCAGGAATATGCTGAGTAAAGTTAGTAATAGCCTGGGTCCAGGGCCTTGAGGAAGCTGTGATTTCAGACCCTGCAAACCCAACTCTTCCTACTAAGGGGCTGTGGTTATCAGTCCCAAGGTGTCTATGTAACACTATGTGTTACTTTTGTGCAACATTGCTTGATTAGCTTCCTGCTGATGTCATCCCATTGTATGATAGCTTTCCTCTGACTGTCTCCCATTTCTGCTCTAAAAACCGTAAACAAAATGTTGTACTTCTTAATAAGTTTGCAGGGCATATTATCAGCTTATTCAAGACCTCCTAGTCCCAGGTCTCCTATCATCTTTATTTTTCTCATTCCTGGTCCACCCTCTCAGCAACCTGCACTGAAGCCTGCTGCTCCAGGTCACACCATGACCAGGGCAACTTATGAAAGGAAGGTTTATTTGGGGTTACTGTCCCAGACGTTTAGAGTCCACCAACAGAGAAGCAAGGCGGCATGCAGCAGGATGGAACAGGATGTTGCAAGGTCACAGTTTGGTCCACAAGCAGGAAGAAGAAAGGGGGAACTCAGAGGAAGGTAGGGTCTTAGGCTCTAAATCCCACCCCACCCCCACCCCCCGTGACATACTTCCTCCAGTAAGGCCACACCTCCTGAACTGTCCCAAATAGCACTACAAACTGCATACCAAGTGTTCGGATGCCTGAGACATTAGGGGACACCTCATTCAAACCACTACAGTGGCCTCTTCAGTGAGACCTCCTTGTGAATTTTAAGGTACATGGTACTGAAATCAAGGCCTGAGTTCAAATCCCCAGTCCAGCCCTTCATCTCAGTGTGACCATGATGAGTTGCTGTCCCTCTCTGATGCTGTCTCCTCTCCTGGACAGGAGACTGGAGAAGGCTGAAGCCCCTGTATACCACCTTCTAGTGCAAGGTGTGCAAGGTGTGCAAGGGCAAGGGCATGTCATGATGATGCCTGCAGGAGTCAGGAGATGAGGATGCCTTCAGGATACAGGAGATGAGGATGCCTTCAAGATACAGGAGATGATGATGCATTCAGGATACAGGAGATGATGATGCCTGCAGGAAGCAGGAGATGATGATGCCTGCAGAAGGCAGGAGATGAGGATGCCTTCAGGATACAAGAGATGAGGATGCCTGCAGGAAGCAGGAGATGAGGATGCCTTCAGGATACAGGAGATGAGGATGCCTTCAAGATACAGGAGATGATGATGCCTGCAGAAGGCAGGCGATGAGGATGCCTTCAGGATACAGGAGATGATGATGCTTTGAAGATACAGGAGATGAGGATGCCTTCAGGATACAGGAGATGAGGATGCCTTCAGGATACAGGAGATGATGATGCCTGCAGGAAGCAGGAGATGATGATGCCTGCAAGAGGCAGGAGATAATGATGCCTGCAGGAGGCAGGAGATGATGACACCTGCAGGAGGCAGGAGATGATGACACCTGCAGGAGGCAGGAGATGATGATGCCTGCAGGAGGTTTTAGGGGTGTGAGTACAGAGATAGCAGAGGTTGATGCACCTTGGAACCTTGGGAAGACTACCCCTGAAGTTGGTATATGAACAAAGAAGGCTGGGGACAAGTCCCAG